TCTCCGTCAAGCACCTTCTTGCAGTCGCTCGCGATCTCGGTCAACCGCGTCTTCGCTGCCTTCGTGGACCTCTTGGCGATATCTGGCAGCTCATCGAACATCTCATCGTCGCACAAGGCGGTCAGGCTGCGCTTCGCGCCGTCGACCTTGTCACCCACCGCCTCCGCGAACCTGGCGCTCGGTACGTGAAACTTCTGTTTCGCGGCCTCCTCCGCCTTCCCCTGCTTCTCCTTCTCCTTCTCCTTCTCCTTGTTGCGCCTCTCCTGATCGGCCTTCCATTGTCCTTCTTGGCGCGCTTCTTCTTTTTATTCGTATTGTCAGACTTGCTCGAGGGCGAATTGCTGCGAGTCAGAGCCACCCTGGCTGTCCTCATCGCCGTCCTCAGTCGCCTTCCTCTTGCGAAACGGGCCCGCGCCCGAGTTCTCCTCCTCCCTGGCCTTGCCCTTGGCGCCCCTAGTGCCCGCGGAGTAGATGGGCGCCCTGTTTGTAGTCCCCGACACGCGGTGCTCGCGAACGCCCCAAGGGCCCACGAAACGCGCGAGGGGTGTGCCGCAATGCGCGCGGGACGCAGGTGGACGCAGCCACTGGCGCCATCGGTGGAGTTCTCTAGAAGGCGACGAAACGTGTCAGGAGTGCGCCGCAATGGGGGCGGGGCGCATGCGGACGCAGCCATTGGGGCAGTCGGCGGAGTTCCCGCTGGGCCCCCGAAGCGCGCGATGGGGTGCCCCGAAATAAATGGCGGGCGCGCGCGTGGCCACCCCCGTTGGAACCGTTGGTGGAGCTCCCTTGGGAAGTACCGCGAAACGCGTGAGGAATGTCCCGACGCGAGCGGCCGGGGCGCACGCGGGCGGCGCCACTGAGACTCTCAGTGGAAATGCCTACGGGGCCACGAAGCATGTGAGGGCGTGCCAAACTAAGCGCCTGGGACGCAAGCGGGCGGCGCCAGTGGGGCCTTCGGTGGAGCCCCCTGCGGGGTCGCGGAACGTGCGAGGGGCGCGCTGACCTACGAGGCTGGGGCGCATGCGGGCGGCGCCATTGGAGTCTTCGGTGGAGCTCCCTATAGGGCCACGAAACGTTTAAGAGGTGCGCCGACCTGGGCGGCCGGGGCGAATGCGGGCGGCGCCGCTAGGGCCTTCGGTGGGGCTGCCTATGGGGCCACGAAACATGCGAGTGGTGCGCCGAAGTGGGCGGCCGGGGCGCATGCGGGCAGCGCCAGCGGGGCCTTCGGTGGATCTCCGCATGGGGCCGCGAAGCGTGCGAGAGGCGCGCCGTCATTCGCGGCTGGGGCGCGCGCGGGCAGCGCCATTGGAGCTTTCGGTTGAGCTACTTATAGGGCCACGAAGCGTGCGAAATGTGCCCCAAAATGATCGTCTGGGACGCATGCGAGCGGCGCCGCCGAGACGTTCAATGGGGATGCCTACGGGGCCACGAAGCATGTGAGGGGCGTGCCGAGCTGAGCGGCTGGGGCCCATGCGGGCGGCGCCAGTAGGGCCTTCGGCCGGGCTCCCCATGGGGCCCCGACACATGCGAGGGGCGCGCCGACATGGTGGACACGTGGAGAGCAGAGGCCGCGATGGGAGGAGGAGGAGGAGGACGGAGGGGAATGCGAGGAGAGGAAGGGAGAGGAGACGCGGGGCGCAGTCTCTTCCAAACGAGGGCCCAACACCACAGGATGGTGGGGAACAGAGAACCTTTCGAATTTAAGGATGGGCGCGTCCGGGTCAAACGGATGAAGATGCTGGCCGAAGTGCCCGGCCAGCGACCGCACCCGGAACATCGCTGTCTGCCCGGCCGTCGGACGATCTGATCGCGCTTCACCGGATGACAACCTTTCCCGTGCCAGATGGCCTGGCTAGACCAGTCTCGAAATCACTTCCAGGCCACCTCCTTCTGGTGCTTTGTTAATCCCCACGAACCGAGGCGACGCCTGCGCGCTGCAGTGCGGCTTGTCTCTCAAGATCTTCGCTTGAAGATTGATTGAGCGGCGGGATCAGAACCTCGTGCGGAGAGTCACCTGGCACTGGTAGGTCCACTGCACCAGGTGCCCACTTCGGTAATCGTTCCAAATCGTCGGTGGCGGTGTCGGTATCCTGGATCTCTCTGGTGTAGCAGGTCGTGGTGGTCCAGCCTCGGGTCCTCCAGTCTGAACGGCGCCTGACCCTCGCGGGGTCTCGCAGCAGGCGGTGTGTCCACCTGAGTCGGCACCTCCACAATAGTGCCCAAGTGCTCTTCGATGCCGCCGCTCACGCGTGGTTCGTCCGCTGCGCCCTTCGCGAGTTGGCTCGCCAGGCCAGGGTCATCTGCTCCATGCGCGTCGCCAGTCGAACGCGTTCGGGAGCAGCGTCGAGCAGGGCGCCAGCGCGAGATGCCCAGTGCCCTCGGCGTCGCGCTGGTCGGGTTGAATTGTCCAGCTCGCTGCCGACGATGACTCCAGGTTCGCGCCAACGATCGAAATCAATGGAATATCTGCGTGCCGATCGGCAGGTCGAGGCCAGAGGCGCGCGCCCCAGCCGCAACTGCGCGTCGATGTCGATCCGCCTGGTCCAACCAGACCACGGCCGCCGAAGCTGCTGAACGAATGTGAAGGGATCGTCTGGCAGCGCCTGCCCATCGACAGTCTCCGCCTCCAGGAAGGAGTCGAGCGCCGGGCCAGGTAGACGACCTGGCGTTCCCAAGACTCGTTTTCGTGGGGAATAACCGCTCCGGTCGACCCTCCTGTTCTTGACCATGGCCGGGTAGTATAATGTCATCGCGCGCACGATGTCTCCGAGCCCTGCGCCATGTTGTTCGATCTTGACCTGTTGCCAAGGTGCCCCTGTTAGGCCAGCGATCATAGGGATCTGCATTATTTCCGACATAGCCGTCGTCTCGCCCTGTAACTCATCTTCCAGGTCGTGCAACGCCGCGTTGGGCACGCCTGCCGTTTTGATTTAAGAAGAGAAGAACGGCTCTGCCGCCACCTCGTCACTCTTGCTTTCCATTAGTCATGCTCCACTCGCAGGTCGAGTCCGCCCGTCGTGTTGAGCCTCTGTGGCGGTCTCGGTATAGATGCTAATCGCACTCCCTTGGGTGTCTTTCTTGACGCACTACGGAATTTGCATATCCTTCTCGTTGGGCGTCGCAGTCTCGTCCATTTTCGAAGTCGCCTGCTGCGCGACCGCGTCGTCCAGCGCAGGTGCGTTAGGGCAGGGCTCATGCCCCTGCTCGTGCACCACTGGGACCTTCGGTGGAGCTCCATATGGGCCACGATGCGTGTGAAGCGTGTGCCGACATGGGTGGCGGGAGCGCATGCAGGCTGTGCCACTGGGGCATTCGGTGGAGCTCCCTATGGCGCCACGAAGCGTGTGAGGGGTGTGCCGAAATGGGTGGATGGGACGCAGGCGGGCTGCGCCAATGGGGCCTCCGGTGGAATTTCCTATGGGGCCATGAAACGTATGAAGGGTGTACCGGCATAGGTGGATGGGACGCATGCGGGCTGCGGGTGGAGCCCCCTATGGGGTCACGAAGCGTGTGAAAGGGTACGCCGGCACGCATCCGGGGCTGCGCCACGAAACCTGTGGCGGGTGTGCCGAAACGGCTGGCTGGGACGCATGCAGCCTGCGCCACTGGGGCCTTCGGTGGAGCTCCCTCTGGGACAACGCAGTATTCCGAAATAGGTTGCTGGGACGCATGCGGGTTGCGCCACCAAGGCATTATGTGGAGGGAGCTCCCTGTGGGGCCACGAAACTTGTGAGGAATGTGCCGAAATGGGCGGCTGGGACGCATGCGGGCTGCGCCACTTAGGCCTTCGGTGGAACTCTTTTTGGGCCTACGAACGTGTGAAGGTGTGCCAATATGGGGGGATGGGACGCATGCGTTCTGCGACACTGGGGTCGTCGGTAGAGCTCCCAAACGTGTGAGGAGTGTGCCAAAATGGGTGGATGGGACGCATGCGCGCTGCGCCACTGGGGCCTTCGGTGAAGCTCATTATGGGGCACGCAACGTGTGAGGGGTGTACCAGCATGGGTGGCTGGGACGCATGCGGGCGCAGCCACTGGGGCCTTCGGTGGAGCTCCCTATGGGGCCACGACGCGTGTGAAGGGTGTGCCAAAATGGTGGACGGATGAGGAGATCAGAGGCACGCAATGCCCACAGGGGAGGAGGGAGGGGGGGAAGGAGGAGAGGAGAGGAGAGGAGAGGAGAGGAGAGGAGAGGAGAGGAGAGGAGAGGAGAGGAGAGGAGAGGACAGAGGAGAGGAGAGGAGAGGAGAGGAGAGGAGAGGAAATGTGAGGGGTGTGCCGACGTGGGTAGACTGAGGCGGAAAGCAGAGGCACGCAGGGGAGGAAGGAGGATGGGGGAAGAAGAAGGAGGAGGACGAGAGGAGAAAAGAAAAGAGGAGAGGGACGCGGGGCGCTGTTTCAAAACGAGGACCCAGCACCAGAGGATGGTTGAGATATGCATATGTATGTATGTATTATATCTATATACATACATATGTGTATGCATGTAGCTGCTAGCTTGCTTCTAGCTTTACAACATGTCTGGCAAATTCGCATCGTTGACCGAATCTGGGCCGCTTGGCGGCGTTCAACTGTGATCGCCTGCGCTGGGGTCGTCGCCGCGTCGACGCGGCGCGAACGTGTCGGTATGTCCACGCCTGCGAAGGCGAACAAGGTTGACGAACGCCGCCGATGGCTCAGAATCGGCTGGTACCTAGCAATCCGCGCTGTCGGAACGCCGCGATCGTCCAATGTTGGGTTCTGGGCGCTGCCAATAGCCGAGTCCGACACCGTCGAGACAAGGACTGGCCAGCCGTAGACCCCTCCCCTGGGGAACCCATGAAAGACGTACGCGCCCACGCACGTACATGGATACGACCCCCCCAGTCCGCGAGGCCAGCCTCGACTTACGAACGCTCGCGCAATGCGTACCCTCGAAATCAAAGGAAAATCACGCACACGTGCGTATTTATGCTCGCTGGCGATCCTCCTCTCCCCCTTGAGCCCGTCCCTGGCTGGTTCCTCCGTCTTCTCCATCGCCATGACGGCGGGCCCCGAGTCGTGCGTCACCTGCGTGAGTTCGGACCCGCTTACTCCTCCGTTTCGGAGGAGGGAGGACATCACATCACGCACGCGTGAGAAAGTTACTCACAAGCGGCTGGTGCGAGTGCGCACAAGTTGCATGCGATTGGGTGGCTACGCGAGTCCAATCATAGCAAATGCGCAAGCAGGTCCGCATCACCCTGCGGCTTAGCTAGGCAAGATAAAACGCCAAGTCGAACACGTACCAAACGATTGATCATCGAGACCAAACGCAAGGCCCGCCTCCGTGCACCCAGTGTATGTCGCGCGTTTGGTGCCAGTGTGTCAGAGATGCCTCCCAATTCCCAATGGTCTCCTGAAACAAATGACACTCCTGGCAACAGACGACCCGAAAACACGTGTTCGTGTTCGTGTACGTGGCCGTGCTGCACCATAACCCTCATGCGTATGATAAACGTGCGAGGTACCCAAGCCATTTGCAGCAAACAGCAAAACAAATGCCCAAACTGGTACAGTGCATTGCGAGAACCGTAGTTTGTTGCGCACGCTACAGTGGATACGCGCGCGCTGCACGACTCACATGACAACAATGGTAAGGCGAGGAATGGACTCCGAGTTTCGAAGAAGACAAGGGCGGGCACACAAAGGAACACAAAGCGGATGGAAGTGCGAAGCGGGAACATTGTCCTGGCGAATGGCCCAATCATCTGCAGTTGTGTGTGTCGCCGTTGTGAGCATCGCCTTCAATGGACGCATGCGGGCAGACATTGGGGCCGTGGGTGGCGCTCCCCATGAGGCCACGAAGCGTGCGAGGAATGTGCCGAAATCGAGCGGGGCCGCCACGCGAACGTCACCACTGGGGTCTTCGGCTACGACATGCGTGAGGGGTATGCCGATATGGGCGGGGGAGACGCATGCGAATGTCGCCTCTGGGGCCTTCAGTGGAGCTCCGCATGGGGCCACGAAACGTGTGAGGGGTGTGCCGAAATGGGCGGGGGGGGGGCGGATGTGGTCAGAACCACTGGAGCCGTCGGTGGACCCCCCATGGGGCCACGAAGCGCCGTGCTGGGTGGGGCGCGGGGCGCATGTGGTCACAATCACTGGGGCCTTCGGTGGAGCCCCCTATTGGGCACCGAAACGTCGTACTGGGTGGCGCGGGGCGCATCTGGTCACAACCACTGGAGCCTCTGGTGAAGCCCCTATGGGGCCACGAAGTGCCGTGCTGGGTGGCGCGGGAAAAATGGTGTCACAACCCCTGCGGCCTTCGGTGGGGCTCCCTATGGGGCCACGGAACGCCGTACTCGATGGCGCGGGACACGTGTGGTCATCGCCACTGGGGCCTTCGGTGGAGCCCCTTATGGGGCCACAACGTGCCGTACTGGGTGGCGCGGAGAGCATGTGGTCACAATCACTGGAGCCTTCGTTTGAACTCCCTATGGGGCCACGAAGCGCCGTGCTGGGTGGCACGGACGCATGTGGTCACAACCACTGGGGCCATCGGTGGAAGTTCCCATGTGGCGCGGGACGCACGTGGTCACAGCCACTGGGGCCTTCGGTGGAACTTCCTATGGGGCCACGGAGCGCCGTGCTGGGTGGCGCGAGACGCATGTGGTCACAGCCACTGGGGCCTTCGGTGGAGCACCCAGGGGGCCACCGAATGCAGTATTGGGTAGCATCCTTCCGCATGTGGTCACCGCCACCAGAGCCTTCGGCGGAACTTCCTATGGGGGCACAAAACGCCGTACTGAGTGGCACGGGCTGCATGTGGTCACAATCACTAGGGCCTCCGGTGTCAGTCCCCATAGGGGCACGAAGCGCCGTGCTGGGTGGCGCGGGACGCATGTGGTCACAGCTACTACAGCCTTCGGTGAAGCTCCCTATGGGACCACGAAGCGCCGTACTGGGGGTGCGGACCGCACGTGGTCACAGCCACTGGAACCTTCGGTGGAGCTCCATATGGGGCCAAGAAGCGCTGCACTGTGTGCGGAGGGCAGAGGCAGGGATGGGAGGATGGGCAGGAGGGGCGAGGAGGAGAAGGAGGAGGAACGCGGGGCGCTGTCTTTTCAAAACGAGGACCCAACACCACAATATGTTTGGGAACAACACGGCAACAGCAGGGACACGGAGGAAGGAGAACGAGGACAACTACGAGAAAGGAGGGATGAGAACGGAGGTGTTTTTTTCAAATGGCTCGCTGGTGAGCAGCAGTTCCGACGCCATGCCGCCCTGGCTCCACGAATTGTCATTTGTTCTCAACCAGTGCAGGGAGCGGGCGAGGTGTAACTCGCCTGCCAACCTCTTCGCTTCCTTCCTGAACCTTTCAGTGCGAAAGCTAAACCAACGACGGCGAGGCTTCATCTGAGATGGACAAGGCGACTCTCCGCTGGACCTCCTGGGAGCCCTTGAGATGAGAGCGCGGACAACTTCGCGGCTCGCAGCCCCCAGCGACGGCGATGTCTCATCTGAACTGACAAGGGCTTCGCTCCGCTGGACTCCCCAGGAACTGGCGACAGTGCCGACAGTTTCGCGGCTCGCAGCCACCAGCGACGGCGATGTCTCATCACATCTGAATAGGACGCCGCTCCGCTGGACACCCCAGAGGCCCACTAAAGTGCCGACAGCTTCGCGGCTCGCAGCCCCCAGCGACGGCGATGTCACATCTGATCTGACTTGGACGCCGCTCCGCTGGACCTCCCAGAGGTCCACGAAAGTTGCGACGGTTGCGCAGTTCGCAGCCCCCAGCGACGGCGAGGTCTCAACTGATCTGACACGGACGTTGCTCCGCTGGACCTCCCAGAAGCCCACGAAAGATGTGACGGTTTCAAAGTTCGCAGCCCCTAGCGACGGCCAGGTCCAATATGAGATGCATAGGACGTCGCTTTGCAGGACTCCCTAAAACAGGCGACAGTGTCGACAGCTTCGCGGATCGCAGCCCCCAGGGACGGCGATGTCACATCTGATCTGAATACGATGTCCCTCCGCTGGACCTCCCAGAAGCCCACAAACATTGCGACTGTTTCGCAAGTCGCAGCCCCCAGTGACGGCGAGGTCTCATCTTATCTGAAGAGGACGTGACTCCACTGGACTCCACAAGAGCACGCGACAGCTGACAGTGCCGCAGTTCGCAGCCCCCAGTGACGGCGAAGTCCCATCTGATCTGAACTTGACGTGACTCCACTGGACCCCACAGGAGTACGCGACAGCTGACAGTGTCGCAGTGTGCAGCCCCCAGCGACGGCGAGGTCTCATCAAATCTGTACAATTAGGAAGGCACTCCACTGGACACGCGACAGTTGCGACAGCTTCGCAGCTCGCAGCCCCCAACGACGGCGATACTTCATCTGATCTGAATCGGGCGTCGCTCCGTTGGACCTCCCAGAGGCCCACTTCAGTGCCGATAGTTTCGCAGCTCGCAGCCCCCAGCGAGGACGAGATCTCTTCTGATCTATCTTGGACGTCACTCCGCTGTGCCAGATCTCCCAGAGGCCGAGGGAAGTGCCGACTGATTCGCACCAATCATCCCCGAGCGAGGGCGAGGTTTTTGATGACCTGATAGGACGTCACTCCGCTGGACCGCCCAGAGGACCACGAACGTGCCGACAGTTTCGCAGCTCGCAGCCACCCAGCGACCGCGAGGTCTCATCGGATCTGCACAGTCGCAAGTGACAGCAGTTTCGCAGCTCGCAGCCACCCAGCGAGCCCCAGGAAGGACACGGCGAGGCGGGAAGCAGGCTGGCAGACTAGTAAGCGCCATGTAGGAAGAATATCTTGGATAGCGTCGGGTCTCCCGTGTGGTCCCACACGTGGTCTCCTGTATGGCCTGCCGTATGGCTTGTTTCGCAGATTCAGTGCACTGCGATACTCAACGTACTACCTGATTATAGGGTTGAGGGTTTTCTGCCCACATTGGCAATACACATATTGCATTCGTCGCCAGATCTCATCTTCATCACATTCATTCGTATCGTCACCATCGTCATCATCAACGTCATCATCAGCATCATCATCATCAGCAGCATCATCATCACCAGCAGCAGCAGCGTCATCTTCACCCCGAGGTTAAAGAACACGTTCTCACCCCGTTCTTATTCCCAAACTACTTTCATGTCCCGCCCGACCCGACCCACCCGCCCATCAAGGCCCCCCGGCCGATACGACTCGATCCGCCCGTGATGGTTCCAACGCCCGACCCGGCAGATAGGTTCCGCCCGACCCGCCCGTCAGATCCTAAGCAAATGCCCACTCCTTGTCCCACGGACTCCTGGCTTGAAGGGCTCATGAAAAATCAACCTTCGTTTTGGGCAGGGGGGATCTGATCGCGATTCGCGAACAGCTGGACTACGCTGCACTGGGCAATCAAGTCTGCATTCTGTCATCCCTTGCCCAAGAGGGATACAACACCGAATCGCACAAGCACACCTACTTGATACAACCGAAAGATTGGAAAAAGATATGGAGCATCGCCAAGTGTGCGCGATCAGCGACAATTCTAAAGTGCGTCTTCAGTGACTGCATGAATCAAATCAGAGCCACTGCGCCATCAAGTCTGCATCATGGCATGCCTTCCCCCAGGAGGATACGACACCCAATCGAACGAGCACCCCACACTTGACACTACAGCCAGAACGTAACGAGATACGTAGCATTGCCCAGTGCGCGCAATCAGCGACAACTCTAGAAGCGCATAACCAGTGACTGCATGAATCAAATCAGAGCCACTGCACAATCAAGTCTGCATCATGTCATGCCGTCCCCAACGGGGATACGACACCGAATCGAACGAACACCCCACGCATGAGACAATCGCAAGAACGTAACGAGATACTGAGCATCTCCTTGGGGACAAAATCAGCGATAACTCTAAAAGCGCGTCCACAATGGCTGCATACACCAAATCAGAACCACTGCGAAATGAAGTCTGAATCATGTCATGACCCTCTCGAGATGATACGACACCGAATATAATGCACACTCACACATTTGAAGCAATCGCCGAGGAGTAACGAGATGCGGAGCATAGGCCCTGC